GTACATGACTGAGCTGGGAAGAATACAAGGGACGTACAGGGAGATGTTTGAGGCATGGAATAGAGAGGAGAGGACGGTAGCGGTACTGGGGAGTAGGAAGTGGTTTGAAAAGGCGGGAAGTGACATCGGTAGGATAGACAGACTAGGGAAGACATTTTTGAGCCACCTTTGGCAAAGTAGGAAGGAACGATTGGCCATCGGTGATCGGTCCTGTGGGAACAATGCTCCGTCCTCTCGAGGACGCGTGGTCAATGGTCTAACCGCTAAGGCATGCAAAGCATAAGAGTACGCCCCCCCCCCCCCCTTGCCCACGTGTAGCCCTGTGATAGCGCCATCCCCGTCCATGCAAAAAGCCACCGAGCAGTTATTTATCCTGCCCCCCTCTGTTCTCGTCGCACCATCTGACGTGACGTCGTGATTGTCTTGCCGCGAAACGAAACCGTCAGGTATGACTTCGGCATCACGGCCTGGTCGGTGCTGATGATCAAGACCAGGGGTGCGGAAGACGTGTCGGACATCTACACCTACTTGGCGGCTCACGGGGAAGCCTTGGGGATCCTGGTAGCCTGCGCGCCGATCGGGGGTTTCATCGAGGGGCTCATAGGCACCAAGGTTAGCTACTTCCTTCTTTCCACAAGCCCAAGTCCTTTTCTACTGCTGTCTCTAACCCTCCTGTACTACAGCAAACGCCGGCCAGCGTATTTTAAGACAATAGGCGCAAATCTTCCTCAAGAGGTAGAAATCGGCTTCAAGAATCACTGCAGTTACAATAGTTCAGCGGTGGGTGAATGCTACTTCACTTGATCATGCTGCATGGTGTTGCAGTTGTAGTTGTCTGCTCGACGGTGGGGACGAAACACGAAACTAGACCTCTTACAGTACCGGAAATGGGCGATTCTTGCTGCAGTTGTCGCCTCCTACATACCTTGTTGTTGTTTTTTCTGCTAATTTAGCGGTCATCGATCGTGTGTGTTTTGGATCATTTTTTGTTGCTCCTTTTGTTCGGTCACGCGTCTGACAGTCAATGGTCTAACTATGTTGACTCTCTTTCTCTCTCTCGTTCTCTCTCTCCCTCCCCCTCCCTCTCCTTCCCACAAAAAA